CTTTTTGGAACAGTAGAGATCTTATTATGTTTGGTCAGGTCGTTTAAAGCAGTGACAGTGTATCTTCCTCTTTAACTTTTTATGCTATTTACATAACATTCAGTGAATGGCTCAAGGTGTGGAACTGTTTTCTAATTCTTACTCGAAATCTGTTGCTGGTATTTCTTTAGAAGGGATATTTCCATAGAACTGTTTATACTTAAGAGAATGTTAACTTTTTATAGCAAGCAGATTTCACTGATCGCTCGGCATAATAGTTTTGTTACTGAAAATGTTAAGTACTCTTGGTAGTTGAAGAACATTTTTAAAAGCAAGAGTGCCCGTAAGGTCTGTGAACGGTTCAGTCAATATCAATTGGAGTGGAAACACAGACTAATTTTGTAGTTGGAAGTTTGAGCTAGTTGTGCTTCCTAGTATCTAGATTTTGAAGGATTCTCTTTTGTGGAATATTGCAGAGCGGAAATAAATCATTTTCCAAGTAGCCTGAATTTCCTGTAAATAATGGCATGACTTTCCAACTTAATGAAATAATTGTTTGCTTCAAAAGAGACAAAATTTATTTTTTAGATAGTTCCTTTCTTGACCTTGGGAATTGGAGTGGATAACATATTTTTGTTACTTCATAGTTATCATGCGGTCACTGGAAACATGAAACGAAACGAAATTGGTATGTTGATGAAGGAAACCGGGATGAGTGTTGTTATGACGTCTTTCAACAATATTCTCTCATTTCTGGCTGGTACAGTTCTGCCTATTCCAGCTCTCCGAAGCTTTTGTGCTCAGGTATCATTTTCATCGTGAATCAAAACTTTAGATTCATTCTGTTGGGATTTTCTGTCTTAATTGGTAATGATTTTTAGTCGTCTATCCTCTTAACATTCAATCTGATTGCAATCTTAACGATATATCCTGCTGTAATCTCAATTGACTTACGTAGACAAAAGAATTCGAGGCGTGATGTGTTTTGCTGCTGTGTATCAGATGAAGCTGGCGATCTTCAAGGAAAATATTCTAACGCCTGTGTTAAGCCTCGTTTGGAGGTTCAGCACATTTTTCATAACGTGATATCACCTTTTGAGTTTTTTAGGTTTTGTTGTAGTGGTTACATTGTTAATTTCTTATTCTCTTTCTTTTGCAGCCGAAGAAGACAGTTGGCGAGCCTGTCCCTTCGTACTCAAACCTATATTCACTGAATGACAGAGGTGATGACATTGAGGAGGATGTTAAGTCATGGACTCTGCGTGCTTTTCTACATAATTATTATGTCCCATTCTTAAAGAATAAAGTTGTTAAGGTTATGATAATTACTATTTTTTCTAAATTTAAGGGTTTGAACTTGATTTTGACTACAAGCTTCAAAATTACTTTCCCTTGTCTTGTCTTTTTTTTTTTATATTTTATCGTGAAAGTTTGTTTTTTTTAAGTTTGCCGTTGTTTTAGGTTTTCATTCTTGTGATTTGTTTCTGTATGTTTTGTGGTGGGATTATTGGTGTTTATCGTGCATCTTACGGTCTTGAACTCAGCGATGTTCTACCAGAGAATACTGCTCCTGCAGCTTTCCTTAAAGCTCGAGACAAATATTTTAGTTTTTACCCTATGTTTGCGGTCTTAAAAGGGCCTGATATAGATTATCCAAATGTGCAAAATAAAATAGAGAACTATCGGAATCGAATAGGTAAGTCCGTGTTACATCGTTTTGATATTTGATGCTTTGTCTCACAAGCCTTCCGTGGTTGTTTATGTTTTGGAAAAAAAGCAAAGTTTGTTTTTTCAGCTCAGTCGAAGTATGTTGTGAAGGTCGAGGATGAACCAAGCGAGAAATATTGGTTAGCTTTGATGCGCTCGTGGCTAAAAGAACTTCAAATAAAACTTGATGCAGCAATTGCGCGCAACAAAGTTTGCATCTTTATTACGTTACAGTTTGTAATGAAGCTAGAAAGTTGCTAAAAATGTTTCATTACAAAAGCCATTCCTCCAGTTTCCCAAAAAACATTGAATAGCGTAATTACTAAAGCGTGATATATTAAACAGTTGTTTGTTTGAAATGGAAGTTTTACTTTCTTTTTTAGTTCGATCTACGGACAGGAGATGTAATTAATGAAACAGTTGGCTTCAAAGGCCCGTCAGAACGTCTTACGTTGGAGGAAAATATTGCTTATCGTTTAATTTGTAGTTATGGAAGCAATTTCAATTGTTCTGGCCGAGTACGACTTTTCAGACATTTGGCTGCAACAGTTTTTCGTTTAAAATTTTTTGCGCGAAGTCTCAAAATTGGTAATTTTCTCGTTATTCTTGTTATTGTAGCTCGGCAAGGTTCGTTTCGTTGACCCCAGTGGCACAATCAATGCCGACGGCTTTTATAATTATTTGACAGCTTGGTATAACTTGGATTCGATGATGTATCATGTTTCTCAAGCGTCATTTGTTCCACCTCCACCAAGGTAACCGTATTTATTGAAAAATTTTTATTCAAATTAGGACTTTACAGTTATTCAAATTGTGTAGCAAAGATGCTTCACTGAATCTAAGGGGCTTTTTTATTTGTCGATTATGCAAACTGTGTCAAAATATCATGTTGTTGTCAGAATTGTTATTAAATATCTCTGATAAAATTCATAAAATTTTTCTTTTTAGGTGGTCTGTTGAGTGGAAAACTGCTGAAATAGTTCCTCCAGCGCAACCGATCGCTTACAGTCAGATTCCATTTTATCTCACTGGCCTTACGGACACTCCTGCCATTGTTGGTATGATAAAGGTAATTGTAGCATTTTTTAAGATAAAGTTTTAATTTTATCATAATAATTAGGTTAGCCAAACACAGAAACTGTTGAATTTCGTATTTGAATTTTAGAGCATTGGCATAATTGGCATCTACATGATGCTACTCTGACCACCTGAGTTTTGTATCTTTACAGGAAATTCGAGCTGTTTGCGAGAGGTTTGCTGCAGAGGGCCTTCCTAATTTTCCTTCTGGTGTAGCGTTTACGTTTTGGGAGCAGTACATGCATCTTAGTTCCAATCTTATGCGCGCTATTGGCGTTATTGCTCTTTCTGTGTTCTGTGTCATTTCGTTTATTTTACTTAATCCGTGGGCAGCAGGTATTAGTATCTGTAAATGAATTGTCTTACTGTGGTTATACTCATTTTCTAGGTGTGTGCAATTTACCAGTTTTGTTTTAGCCATTATCGTTGGAATCTTGTTGCTAATGACAGTGGAGTTGGCAGGTTTTTTGGGTGTGGCAGGTATAAAAATGAATCCAGTTTCTGCAGTGACAATAATAACTGCTGTTGGCATTGGTAAGTTGTGTCTGTTTTCTGGTTTGAAGATTAAGTAAGAATAATTTTTTGTTGCTTCACTTGGTGCTTCTTTTTTCTGATGGTTTCATCACTCTGTTTCTCTCTAAAATTTTTAGATTATTTTGGATTTTTTCTTATCATTATCGGCTAACTTCTGGTATAAGTTGTAAAAGAAAGGCGTGATATTAAACTTTTACTTTATCGGATGTTAAGATTTTTGTGAAAGGTTGGAAATGAGTTGATTAATGTTCTTTTGCAAGTTCATTTCAAGCTGTTTTTCGATGTTGTAAATCCTTTTTACCTGCCTCTGTTTACGCTTTTTTCAATATTTTCCAGGCTCCTCATGTTTTATTGAACTTTTCATTAGAAGGCTTAGTTTTTTGATTTTTTCAAAAACATCTTTAAAAAAAACTTATTTACCTTCGCCCATTTTTCATGCATGAGGGTATGTGGATATTGGTGTAGTTTACTTGAGTTGCTGGCTTTTGGCAGCTTGACTTGTTTCTTTTTCCTTTTATTTGTCACTTTTGTTTGTATCCTTTTTGTCTGTCTTCGCTTTATCAGTATCCAACAGTACTGCCTACAGCCGCGATTTCACCATTTAGAAATTAGATTATCATGGACTACAGTACTTGAAGCTCTCAAGCCCCCACTTGCATTTTTGGAAGTTTTATTCCCAAATAGAATATTGCGTTAAACGACAGTTTTTTCACTCTAATACTTCCTTACTACAGTTGGAAATTTTTTGAGCATGGCTTTTCTCTTCCTGTTTTTATTGTAGAAGAAATAAATAGGTTTAAGTATTGTTTCTTTAATTTTTGATTTCTGTGTTGGGTGCCTCAACCTCAGCTTACGTGACACTTCAGCTTAGAGTGGTATTTCGTTAAAAACTCTTTATTATATCAGCTTTAAAACCTCATTCTTTTTTAGGTGTTGAGTTTACCGCCCACGTAGTGCTTGCATTTCTGACGTCATTGGGAACAAGGAATGACCGAATGGGTGCATGTATTGATCGTGTCTTTGTTCCAGTTATTCATGGGGCTTTATCTACTCTTCTAGGAATAGTTATGCTGGCATTCTCAGAATTTGAATTTGTGATAAAATATTTCTTTGTTGTAATGTCAGTCTTAATAGCCATTGGAGTTATCAATGGGTTGGCTCTTCTTCCGGTGCTTTTATCTTTGATTGGACCGAGTTGTGAGGCATGTTTCAAAAATTTTTTTATGCTTTCAAGTTTTCTGCATCAATTTCCACCTTGTAGTACGGTTTTGTACTATTAGGCGGGTATTGCTTTATTGAGTATAACATTTTGAAGGTAACGCCGGTGAATGGAGGCGCTCGATTATCACCTCCACCGCGTGCTCCCCTTAGAAAAAAACGAAGGAGAGACATCACTGAAGCTCAGACGCATCGGCGAAATATATCTGATGATAGTAACACAGCGACTCTTGGACCTGAGAGTGTAAGTTGAAGTACTTGTTCTTCAGGAAATGTTCCGTTCAATATCTTTTGCTTCTTCAGTATGATTTTTTCATACTCTTTTTTGTTTTGAAATTTCTTTTTTGAGAGGTTAATTTTTTGGAGTTTTTTGCTGTTTTTGCGAAACTCTTACGTAGTTGATTTGGAAATCCTAATCATTCTTTTGCAGTCAAGTAGAGTTCTTTTGTTAGACCCGGCGCGCACAGCTCCTAATACGACTATGCGGGTAAATGCTCATGCTCGCTCTGTTAGTGCACATATCAATACGCAAAACTATTCCAGTGGAGCTCATTATGAGTCATTAGACTGTTAATTAAATGTTTTTAATTTTCACCTTTTTCTGGCGGTGTAGTGCTGTTCATTCTGTGACACTGCGTCTTCAAAATGGCCACACATACGTTGTAAGCAGATTTGTTTTCTGATTTTCATAACTTTTTGTTCATTCTTCAAACAAAATGACACTTCGGCGCTAATATTTTATTGAGTAGGAAGGTGAGGCAGTGCAAAGCTGTTTTTTCTTCAGCACTATAATTGGCTTCACATAAAAAGCATCTAGAAGATTTTGCAGTTTTTTGTACAAATTATTCAACTTTTTATCATAGTTTGAAAATTATATTTTGAAGGCGTAACCTGTTCTGTGAAGTTTTACATATTGTGGTTTGAACTACATCTTTCATTAATTTTTAATTTATTTTCGATTTGCTCACAATTTTATTTTACTCTGCTTTTCATGTAAACTTTCAATTTAATTCCAAGTGTATTTTGTTTCTGCTTTTTTGAAAACTACAAGTGACAAAATTTTTGAAGTAGGTTATTTCCCACTTTTAATTACTTTTCACTTCTAAGCTTCCATAGGACTTCCAAAGAAACTATATTTGAGCTTTAAAGCGTGGCAGGAAGTTATTCCACCGCTAAGCTGGAGTTTAATCGCTGGGTTTCTTTGTAAATAAAATCTGCCATTTTCAGACGCTTTCTTCTTTCTCGTAGTCGTTCAGTTTATTTAATTTTTATTTTTGTTCCAAAGTTTTTAACCATGTGTTCATTATTGATCGCATTGCTTCCGGTTACATTCTTTGCGAAACCCCAGAATGACCGTCTGTTCCCAAATCTTTTAAACCCAAGGATTTGGTGCTTTTTTAAATAAGTAATCTTTTTTTATCACTATCGATTCTGACACTTGAAAGCTCCTTCTTTAGTGAAGAAATTGTACTATAGAATTCTCAAATTGAATAACTTGTTTTGATTACTGTGTGTAAATTTTATTAGGATTCAGGATGAAATGATACGTTGATTTAGGATTCGTATTTATTTATTCTACTCTATTGTTTTAATTTCTGTTTATTATTATTGTTGTTATTGTGATTATTATTTTTTTATTTTTACTTTTATTATTATTATTATTGTTCTTTTTTTTATTTTTTTTCCCTGTCTCGGTTACGTAATGCGCAGCAGCAGTCTCACCTTTCAAAGACAAGCAGTAGGATGTCAAGATACTTTGATACTCAAAGTGCTAAGCAGATTTTTGAAAGTTTTTCAAAATTATTTATTGCTGCAAGACTTCAGTCATAGTTTTTGATCTCATGAAGTTATTTTTTTTCACTGTTATTATCCCATTTCACATGGTCAGTGCATTTTACGACTGTGGTCATATGGACCAAGGTTTTTGTTTACTGGAGATATTGGGAATGTTGTTTTTTTTTTTTTTTTTTTAGTTTTGGATATCGTCTATCATCACATTTTGAAGTGAAAAGTTTTGGACGCAGTGCAAGGGTATTTATCTCGTAAATTTTAGTTTCTGTAACATTGTCCAGTGTTTCGTGATAAATGGTTGTTTGTTACTGTCTGACTTTTTTCTTGGTTTACGTCGTGTTCTGTTTTAGCTATTCTTGTCAGGTATTTATTTTTCATTTTGAGTCACATGCTGCAAATTAGAATATATGGGAAAAAAATGACAAGGGGCTACACAAAAGTTTGAAACGAAACCGAATACCACAAAATGAGGAATACTCATTGTGCTTGGCTAGTCGTCGTCGAGGACCAGTTTGGTTTCGCCAGGGTATTCAACCTCTAAATTGTAGCTACCGATACTGAACGGCTGCAAACCGACTCGTCCTTCGTTGTAATAATAGAATGGTACGGCAACATTGATCTGACGATATACTCTCTGCAACAGTGTAGAAGCTGGTTGCGTTGCAGGTCAACAGAGTTTGTTGGTAGATTGAGGTAGAATTGTAAAATTGTTGGGTCACGTAGAGACTAGAAACGGGAATGAGGGGAGCTTTGTTTATGTTTAGTTATAGGAGGCTTGGTTTAGTGTGGTTCTGAATCTCGCCTATGAAATAAATTGAACAAGACTCGGTTTTTATCTGACTACTTGGTTATTGTCGGGTTTTTGCGGTGCTCAAAAGGATGATGAAGGCGTATCTGTTAATGGTGCTCGGTTGTCAATGCACCGAAAGCGCCTCCATAATCAGAAAGGCTTGGTCTTTTTAAGGTGGAAGTTTTTTGAAAATGGACGTGAGAATTCAGGTCCTCACTTTTGAAATTTCTTTATCAGAAAGTCCGCATTGGTGTAGGATTGTTACCGTTGGCTGCAAAGTGCTTGTATATACTACATTCATTGTGAACGTATCGTTTCTCAAAACTTGCTCGGAGAGAAGAGACTCAGCGTCTGAAATTATACGTTGTTATCAAGGTTTGAGATTGTTCCTGATGAGGTAAATGGTAGAGCTGTTATTTTACCTCTCCGTGGCGAGCCATATACGCGAACTTTCCTGGTAGGGTTCATTTCATGGCATCTCAACCGACCGGTAATTTGTAAAGCTAAAAGCAGTAGGAAAAGAACTATTTTAAACAGGCTAAGAGGAAAGCTACTGTGTAAACGGCTAAAAAGCGCTGTTATAGTAGTTTAATTCATGTTTTGCTTACGTTTCTTGTTGTGATAAAAGATATTTCCTTCTGTTTGACCTGGATAATAAAGTTCAAGATTCATTGTTCCCGCGTCGAATGTTTCATTAGAGTTGATATATCTACTTGGAATTTTTATAATGAATCGACGGTAAGTCTCGTTCTAAACTTGAAATAATTTTGTTATTTTAATTGGTGGTACAGAAAAACAGAAAGCTGTAAAAAATTTGGAGAGTTTTTCTACGGTCCACTTAGCATTGTTCCGGTATACCCAGTGGAAACTGATTAATTTTAGCTGAGAAGAGTGTAATCTAAGTGATGAATACTTAAATTTAATTTTTTGTACTTCTTACCAAGGCAGCATCAATTTTTATTTTGAACGATCGTGAATTAACCTGTTCCTTTCATAAAAAACAAAGCGTTTTGTGTGATAGAAATTTTAGGATTTACAGTTGTTTTAGAGAAAAACTGGTGCTTTTCTGTTCAGAATTGTAGGTAGAATTCAGACAAGCGGTTACCAGCTTGACAGAATTTTTTTTTTTTTTTTTTCGGAAACTTATTAAATTAAGTTCTTTTGATCGGTTTGGTAGTGGAATTCCAGATTGTTGCAGGTTTTTTACGGGGCGTTATTTTTTAAAGTTTGTTAGAAAATTGTGACGACCTGCCGTTTAAGCTGGCCGCATTGGTGATAGATGACTAGTGCCGGGGAAAACAGTTCGCCGTCGCTAATTGTCGCGTTTCGTTCCCCGATAAGCGTAAAAGAACCATCTTTGGGCACTTTAGTTGCGTCGAGAGTGTAGTCGGGATCTGTAAAACTTACATTGTTATAGCAAGATCCTAGAGTTAGGGGTAGTAAATTAGGAGTTCTGGTTTGGTGGGGTTTTTCCAGATGAAGGCTATTTGTCTGGTTGTCTTTCATGACGCAAACGATTTGTGGTAAAATTTCCTAAATGTTTTGTTCCTCCATTTAATAAATTTGTTTTAAATTTTTTAGCTGTTTTGTTGCCTAGACAACGTTGAAACATATAAGAAGAGACTTACTGAACGATCTAAAGCGAAATGTTCCAGTTTGATGCCATTTTTTAGTCTGATTAACTGATACTCCTTAAATAGTTGCTATGTAAAATCATTGCTAGGCACTCAGACTTTTCTCATACTGTCTTGCCTTTGAAAGTCTTAAGTAGATGAATGAGAACTTTTAAGAATTTTTAACAATACAGCCCTTCTGTGGTGAAATAATGACCCGTAACAGTCTTCTGCATTGAGATACCAGCAATTTTATTATTATTTTTTTTTTTGAAATACTTTATTTTGAAGACTGAGGATTTCTTAGCGTGACTAAAACATTATGAAGAAAAGATTAACTTGGTCTTGATATGGCTTTTGCTTAAAAATAGTCTGACGAACGCATTGAGATCAGCGCGATGGTAGCCACAGAAGAGTGAGCCATTTACAGCGATCTTTCGGGTCGTTGTTACGTTTCCAGGAGTTAAGTGAATTATTGCGTCGTCGTCAACGTTGACATATGAGGCAGAAATAAAGCGGATAAGGAGGCTCAGTAACACTATCATTGGAGTAAACAGCGACATTCGAGACTAGTGTTTTAACCCTGACGGAAACTGTATTTTGTTTGAATAATGTAATTTTTTTTACAGTTTCTTTACTCTTACATGGTGGTGAGCAATATTTTCTTACTACACTTCCCCTAAGACCCAACTTTTGGTGGCATTTTATTTTGCGTCATAGAATTCAACATCGATCATAAAGGCGATTTTAAGCCGATTCAAAGATCAGTCCATAGAACCAAAGGTGAATAAGTTGCAAAACAACAATTAATAATCTAAAGATGTCGTGGTGTAAAGAATGATTTACTGATTGTTAAACAATAATGGACTGGAAAAAATTGGTGAAATAAACGTCAAAAATTGGTGGTGAAAATGAGAAGTCAGATACAGAGCGAGGACGTTGATCTATAGCCCTTTTATTCAAACATTTTACATAGAATTGTTCGCTGCTTCTATTTTTTGCCGTAGTATCTTCTTGGTTGACAACCAAAAAAACAATAAAGAAAGGAATGTAACAAAGCACTTCTGCCTCCCCTTACTGTAAGTTTTGAATTTCTTTGCTTCAGTGCCTATCGTCTTTGTATTTTTTATAACTCTAACTTTGATGTTAATAAAAAACAAGACAAGTAAGGTTTAATATCCAAAAAAACCACATTTTTTGGAAACTCAATGGCATATAACAAATTGGGCAATTCTATAGAAATCAAAAGAATGATGAAAATAGTGAATAGGTGGAAAACACGCTATCAAATCAGCTTTAGAGTATTCCGCAGCGTTGCAAAAGCTGCTCTGTAGGTCAGTTGAACGATGAAAACAATAGAAACAATTATCATTTCTTTAAGCAGCTGCTATGAGGTAACAAGATGATGGTGATAATAGTGGTGATTTGGTGAAAGCAAAAACAAAGGTTTTACAGGAAATCTGATGTTACTTTTTCATTTTTTTGACCTACATTACAAGACACACATATAAATTGAAAAGAAAAAAAAATTTGAAAACTTAATAACTGTTGCAGTATTGTGGTAAAATTTTTAAAAATTATAAACTTTTAGTCGGAAATAATGCCGCTTAAAGAACTCTAATTTGGTTACAGTTATATTTTCAAACAACAAACAAAATATTTCTGCTTAATCTTCCTTGAAAATTATTTGCTACTACTGTTAAATTCAAACAAAGTATTGAATCATTCGGAAAATTATAAAAAAAAAAATTTTTTTTTTGCATTTTTCAAGGAAAACTTTTTAACGGATTATTTAAACACAAATGAAAAGAGAAAGACAAAGTGAAAATACTTTAACAAAGCAGTAATCATGTTTTTTACGTAATTCGGACAAAAATGCAATTTGAATGCACTCTCAATTACTCACCTTTTATTTGACACTTTATTCTCACTGAATCATTCAGCATTTTTCTTTTTATTTTTTGGTATTTAAAAGCAAAATCCCCTTTGAATGCTCTTTTTTTTTTTTTTTTTTGTAGACCTGATTGTTAGCTAACTAAATAAATTACAGCAAAAGAATCAGATAAAAAGCTTGAAAAGCGTAACTCAGTTTTTCTAGATTTTACAGTATGGTAACACTGAATCTGAGGAAAAACTTACATTTGCAGCAACGTTAAAAAGAACAAAACATCATTATTAGTGTCTCTGTGCAAATGTATTTTCGTATTTTGACGGCTGTTAGCTAACTGTTGGTTTAAATTTTTTTTTGTTTTTTTTTTTTACATTAAAAAATAAAAAAAAAAATTACAAAATAAATTAATGAAAAAAAAAAAATCGACAATGAACTTTTTTTGGTAAATTATTGACTTTGAGTAAGAAAAAAAGAGTGTTGTCAAAGTGAAATTGTTCTATACACATCTGTACATATAATCAAATAAAATTCACTTAGTATTACAAATAAAAACAGTCAAAAGTGAGGTTTAAAGTGG